ACCTACAGCTACCAGACAAAAATTCCACAACTTGCTGCACGCAGCACACACAGGCAGGGCGATGAAAAAAATGAAAGCCGTTTACAACTCCCTGTAACACCGAATTGGAGCGCAGCTCTTGAGGAGGAGGGTTGAAGGGTACTCAGGGTTACTTGTTCTCATGTGAGCTTGTTCTCATGTGTTCTTGTTCTCATGTGACCTTGGGGGGTCACGTGACACCCCAGAAAAATTTTTCCGCTAGATTTAGCGGGGAAATTTTTCCGCTAGATTTAGCGGGTTAATTTTTCCGCTAGATTTAGCGGGGCATTTTTCCCGCTAGATTTAGCGGAGAAATGTTTCCGCTAAATTTAACGGAGAAATTTTTCCGCTAGATTTAGCGGAGAAATTTTTCCGCTAGATTTAGCGGGGAATTTTTTCCGCTAAATCTAGCGGGGAAAATTTTTTTGCAATTTTTCCGCTAGATTTAGCGGGGAAATTTTTCCGCTAGATTAAATGGGAAAATTTTTCGGCTAGATTTAGCGGGGCCTTTTTCCCGCTAGATTTAGCGGGGAATATTTTCCGCTAGATTTAGCGGGGAAATTTTTCCGCTAGATTTAGCGGGGAATTTTTCCCGCTAGATTTAGCGGAGAAATTTTTCCGCTAGATATAGCGGGGAATATTTTCCGCTAGATTGAGTGGGGAATTTTTTCCGCTAAATCTAGCGGGGAAAATTTTTACGCTAGATTTAGCGGAGAAAATTTTCCGCCAAATCTAGCGGAAAAATTTTTCCGCTAGATTTAGCGGGGAAATTTACCCATAATGCACCGCGCGGTTACGCCGACGGCGGCGGCGACGCCGACGCCGCTCAAGCCGGAAACGGGCCCCTAAGAGCTGCGCTCTAAAAAAGAGCTGAAGATATTCTGTTTTGGCCTGGAATCAACGTTGACATCGAGGGCGAGTACGACAAGTGCAACAAGTGTCCAATGTAGATACGAAAAAAGGTCAACATGCCACTCTTGAGTCATGCGGTGCCAACACTGCCTGGGCAGTATGTTGGTATCGGGTTTTTAGAGCGCAGCTCTTAGGCGCCCGTTCCCGGCTTGAGCGCCGTCGCCGTCGCCGTCGCCGTCAGCGTAACCGCGAGTAACCCTCGTAACCCTCGTGAGGATTACGAGGGTTAATCTCACGAGGGTTACCCTCACGAGGATCACGAGGGCTACGAGGGTTACTAACCCTCAAAAGGGTTGCCTTCACGAGGGTCACGAGGGTTACCCTCACGAGGGTCACGAGGGTTATGAGAGCTACCCTCACGAGGGTCACGAGAGTTACCCTCACGAGGGTCACGAGAGTTTCCCTCACAAGGGTTACTAGGGTTACCCTCACGAGGGTCACGGTGGTTACCCAGGTCACCTGACTTCCCCGGGGTCACGTGACCTGGGGATACTCCCCGAGGTCATGTGACCCCCCATTGACGTCATCGCCACTGATGACGTCATCAGTGACGTCACTGATGACGCCACCGGCATCTGGATCGTCATAGGCATCATCACTGATGACGTCATCGGAATCCGCATCGTCATCGTCATCATCACTGATGACGTCATCAGTGACATCACTGATGACGTGACCGGCATCCTCATCGTCATTATCATCACTGATGACGTCATCAGTGACGTCACTGATGACGTCATCGGCATCGTCACGTGACCCCCAGGCCACGTGACCCCCTCCCCGACGTCACGTGACACCCCAAGGTCACGTGAGCCCCCCGCCCCCCGAGGTCACTTGACCCCCCCCCCCCCAGTACCCTTCCCTCCTCCTCCTCAAGAGCTGCGCTCTAATTCGGTGTTACAGGGAGTTGTAAACGGCTTTAATTTTTTTTACTCATGAAGGGCGGGACTTCATAAAAATGGTGGACTTTACTTATTTTGCTTCGAGGTTGAAGAAATGAAAACCACCACAGCTTCCCCAGTTAAAGAGTTTTGTATGAAAGTCTTCGTTTGGGAGCCATGAGTTCCAAACCGTTCCTGAAAAACTTGAAGATCGAGCAAATAACTTCGAGCCCTTACATCCCCAAATAATTGGCATGACCGAACGAGCCTTGAGCCAGGCCAAACGATTACTGAGAAAAAGCGAGAACAATAAAAGGTTTACTATGTACTTCTTGAGTGGCGAAACACTCCATGTTACGAGGTTCTCCAATCACCAGTGCAAAGACTGATGAGCCGGCATACAAGAACACTGTTGCCCGCCAGGTCTGGACATTACCTACCTGTTATCGTGTCGCCCGAAACCGTCACACAACGCCTCACAAAATTAAGGCAACAATAGAAGGCTAGCTTTGATAAGTCCTCACGAGCACTACCGGATATTGAAACAGGTTCTGAAACCACATCTACAACCCTGCTGTTCACCTGCTCTAGTATGGGCTATTCTACTGTAAGGTCCCACAAAATCCGGACCCCTGAAGGCCAAGTGCTTCGAAGAACACGCGAACATTTAAGACCAATTATACACTCCACCCAAGAGACGGCCTCTGTGGCTACAGAGCAGCGAGCAATGGCCACGTTGAGTCTTAAACGCACCCGCTGCTTCGAAGGGGGACAAAGGTTAGAAGGCCACCACAACGATATGGAGATGAACACGATATTTAGACTCAAACACACTTCTAAACTTGCCTTTCCCCAGAAAGGGCTAAAGCTAGTGGGTTAGAGTGGGCAAAAGCGCACACCCAGCTCGACGCGCGTAGAGCGAAAGCTCGCGCTGCAGAACCCAGGGATCCTGGGTTCGAGCCCCACCCCTGCCCATTTCGATCTGGATGAGCATCGTACCGGCGTGCGGTCGTGTATCACTACTGCTTGAGCACGTTAAAGACCCCAGGTTAGCAGTCGTACTGCACTGGCAAAATTGCTCATCTACAGTGTAAACCAGTGTCGCCCCTACTGGCAGACCAACCTTACGCTGTATAAATCACTAAAACGTCCAATTTGACTTGACTTTTGTCCCCAACAAAGGAAGAGAAAGACACAACGGGGACACGCGCAAATAAAAGGATCAATTGCGAATCACCGTGCTGGTTCATGCGTGTCGCTTCGTACAACAATGTACTAGTCTTTTTGGTCCACGTGTTGGCTTCCACTCTGAGGTTTCTAGAATGTTTCTATAAAAATTTTAAAACGCCCAGGAAAAAGCACAGGAAAACTTGGAAGCAGTGGAAGCCGACGTTTGACAGAGATTTCGCACCTTCGGAAGACCCCGAAGAAGCCGCTTTTGTTACGAGACGTCAGCTGCCACCTTAAAGCTTCCAGGAGATTTGTTTTTAAGTCAGTGCACGCATGCTCAAAACAAACAAAAAAGTTATATTGGCGCGTTTTGGGTCCCTTAAGCAGATTGGAGTGTCGCACTGCCTTCTGCGCGCGCGCTGTGCGACGCCTCATGCTGCTTGGGTAACCCAGAGCATAGAGTCCCCTTATTCCAAAACTCCCTATTGTTAGAGTTCGTACATTCCCGTCACGACAACGATTGGAGTGCCACTGCACACATGTGCGCCGAAGCATTGATCGTGATGAGCCCGAGACGAGTGGTCACGCAATGCTAATGTCCACTTCATGAATCTCTTACGGGCATCGTTAGCAAGGGGTAATCTATATGGCAACATTGCGTTTCCCGCGAATACATTAGGGAAATATACAAAGGAGGGACCGAAATAAATAAACAGCTTTAAATATTGATATATTACGTAGCGTCAAGGAGGCTTCTGGGTCAGTTGGTCAGTTGTGCAGTACCAGTATACACCTGGATGAGCATTTTCTTGCAAAGGGAGAATTATATTAACCTAACATCGTTAAAAGGACACCTTTAAAACGAGACGGCAGCTCAATTTGCATCATCCCGTAGTTTTGGATCTTGACTGCCGCATTTTGCCAATAAGTTAGATTGTGGGACGCTCGTCTATACGACGCCTTCCTATGCTGAAACAAGGTAGTGAGGCTTAGAGCGATAAACTGGTACCCCCGTTCACCAAGCAAAAGTGCCCCCCACCTGGCTGCCGCCATATGTTGTACACTTCTGACCACTAGAAACGTAACTGCACTATTTTTTTTCAATATTGTAACACCCAGAGATGAGTGTCTGGATCCGATTAAAACCCAAAATGCAGCACCACGGCTGACGGCATCTAGCGGAGGCATTGAGAAGCTGCCCGAGTTTTTGTCGTAAAAGCACATTTCAGGAGTTAAAACAAACGAAACATAACTTATCTCGTTGGTACCGTTATTAAAGATCAACAAGCAATTATTTGTGCCCGGTACTTCGTTAAAATCTAGACATGAAACTATAAGGTCACGTGTCTAGTTGTCAAAAATATGCAACATGGCGGCGGCCTATTGGGGGACACTTTCAGCTGCCCGTTTATCGCTCTAAGCCTCTCTACCTCGTTGTCTTACTGCAACAGCCTTCCGGTTCTCACTTGAGCCCAGATTTAAGAGAGGAAGCACCTCAAACCATGGATATCTCTTGCAATTTAATGGCGGACACCTGCCTCCTAAATTTGTTGCTCATGCGCTTGCGTTCGTTCACGCACGGCAAGGAGGACTGCGGGCGGAAATGTTGAGCAAAGTGTCGTTCCACGCTTCCGTCACTTTCTCGCACCTTACGTCGCCAACGCGGCCCATAAACCACGTGACCACGTCGAGCATTTGGATCCACTGTTACATCTGGGCGCAGTAGCCGGCGCCGCTGCTTCAGGTGGCGTCGTCTGGGCAAATAATTGGGGTTGTGGGGATATTTAGACAGCGTGCAGTTGGTCAACAATTTCAAAGATGCGACTAGTCCGTGTTCTAAATCTTAGCCAAATAGATCCGAGTTACTCTGACGGGTCGTGTGACGAGATAACACAAAGAGAGCGACGCTGGACGCGGGTAGGTTTTCGAACGCAAAGGTGCCCTTACTCTGGAGCAAGAGCGAGTAAATTTTGGAACACAGCCCTGGCTTCACAACATGTGTGCAGGTGGAGCGGCCGGTGTGCGGATGAAGGCTCGTACAGCGTCTCGAGCGACTCCTTCCGGCGAGGAGTTGGCGACTCTTCGCCTCGGAAGCCCGTCCTGATGTCTTCGTGCTGCTTCTGCTGCAACACCCGTAACGGTTCCCTCGCTACTGGCATCAGTTCGATCGTAAGCTTTTTTCGTCGCCGGAAGACGTACTGTACTCTTCGATTTGCGAAGATTATGTTCATCGATGAGGCAGAGAACACCCGATAGGCATTCGATCTGAAAGTAAAATACCGTATTTTAAACTAAAAATTAAACTATAGTATAACTATCATAAAATACTAAGGCTAAATTCATTTTTAAAGGAAGATAAAAAATGCAATTATTTTGCAATTATGATATTAAATTCAATTATTTTTTTAAGCTCCCCCAACAAAAAATGAAAAAAAAACGAGTAGCTTTTTTAAACTAAAACATTTATCATACACATAGTTCACTGCACAGGCAAAGATTGCAACCTTCGGTATATACCATACGTGAAGGTATTCACCCTAATAGCAGTTTCGACTGTAAACTTCAGGACGCGCGCTTAAAGGGGGGAAATTTGGTCAGCTCGAGGACGAACTACCTTCCTTACCCGCATAACACCTCTAAACCGAATTTCGCCCCTGACAAAACATTTATGTACTACACCTTGACTCTCAAACTGCGATCACACTGTTAATACATTGCTAGTACTAAAGACAGTCTGCAGAGACTGCTTTAGGCGGATTTCTTCCTCGAATGGGGGTAGTGACACGTTGGTTACTCAAAAGCTGTCTACAGACATGTTCCAGTCATGCATTCGAATGACGCAAGCATGATTTCGAACATGCTCGAGGAGTGTCCGAAGATCATTCTGCGTCATCACGTCTGCAGAGAGCATCGTGTCTTTTGTATGATGCAGTGTGACTCTATGGGAATACTACAAGGACTAGCGCCCAACAATCGCGAAAATACACCTACGACTCAATATCTGAAGGGTTGTGGACCGTTTAAGAATTTTAACCCTGTAATTTATGACTTTCGGTCGACTATAATCGGTTGATCAAAGACGGCGGCTGCTTATCCATATAATGTTTTACATTTGGGGTACAATGAATGAGATTATGTAGAACGGAAGGAAACCATACATAAACGTAAATATTAAGTTCTATTGGAGGCTTTTTTCTTTTTGTTGCATGGAATATGCACATAAAATGTTAACAATGGATTCCATGCGTTGTAAAACAAGCCGGAAACATAGACAAGTGCACATTGAAAGCTAAAACTTTCACCGAATGTACACCGGGGTGGTGAATTCTACCTGGTGAAATCTTAAGGCGTAATTCCCTTCCCGCGAAAAATCAGGCTCACAACTTACCAGGGTCAACGACAGGCGTGTTCACAAACGACCGAGACGGCGAGGTTTGTACCCTGCGGCGCCATCTGCCAATAGGCGTAGCGAGCTGGCGATTGAGCTCGTCACCAGCCATAGCCTCGTCTATACTAACAAAGCCTGGCAGATCGTCACGTGACGTGGCCGCCGAATGTGGAACGGTAGAGCGGCACACAGGAGTCATGTAACGGGCACCCCGCTGCGGCGAGACGCCGAAACATGCTTGTCTCGAGCGATGGAATGTTTGGCCGTGCTTCTCGCGTTCCTTGGGCTACCGCTTCTTTTCTCGTCGGGTTTGAAAACCATGTTTCGGGTCCTCGCCGCTGCAAAAGCTGTGCGCTGAATACCGAACTCCCCGAGAAATGCTCTGTGCTACCAGATCCTTGTGCTCCAAATCTGCGACCGTGCACTTTATGGCTCCGTCATCGAACTGCCAGGCTTTGTGAGTATAGAGGAGGCTATGCACCAGCTCACTGCGCCGATCGGGGAGGAAGCCCATATTTAAAAGTGGGAACAACTGAAACCATGGGGAGCGTTTGCAACTTAATGGCAGACGCCTCCTGTGCGTATAGGAAGTATTCACTGGACTCCATATTTGTGAGTGCTGTTTAAAGCGCATGCTCAGAACGAGCTCACATCAATAGGCTGCTAAGACCGGCACTCTTGATGGTGCGGAATGCACGTTGCAAAAGAACTGTGGAAGCTCGCCATCAGCACGCGCTCATGCAGAAATCGCGCACACAGCTATGGCCGCCAGTGAATACTCCCTATTAATTGCTAGTGTGCTTGCGTTGCCTCCTCGCGTTGAGAGGATTAAAGCGGGTGAAAAGGTTGAGACGCTTGTAGACAGCCGACGGTTTCGACCCCTCCTCGAAGCTCGTAATGCCAGCGCGGCCCATAAACCACGTGACGCTGCTCGAACAGTTGGAAAAACTCTGACATCTAAGCACTTTAGGAGAGACATTCGAATATGAAGGTACATCTCACACTGCCACCGAGAGAAATGTTTCGCTGGGCCTGCACAAACTGTCTCCTAGAGCCCCACTCATACTCCTCATATATAAACGAACAACGTAACTTGTTACTTTGCAATAAAAGGAACGGCGTTACCGTTACTGATAAAAAGTTTGCGTTACACTTATCTATGAATTAAAACATTTTACTATTTTGACGTTACAAGTATATGCATAAGAGCAATATTAAAAAAAAAATGTCCAAGCAGAAATTTAGCATAATCACCTTATCTGTTGCGGTTCCACCTGAAGACTCACGAGGGAAAATGAGAATGTATATTATAAAGGCTGCTTTCCGACATGCTCGCTCGGAGCTTCACAGTACGACCTACCTCCAGCATTTGCACACACGAGACCAACTGAGGTTTTAATTCATTTTATTCGCAACATACTGATGTACTATCGGGTTCGAATGAAATGCGGACAGTGACGGAACTTCCAGCGCATCAACGGCACAGCGTCGCAGCTTGAGGTGTGATGGGCGAGGTTCAAGAAGATCGAGGTACACCTAAGCACTTCTTATGAGTTTTGAATTCGAAAGCATGTACAACAATCTTGCTGTACGCGTGTTCGAACGCTCACTGGCCCTGACTAAAGTTCCTGTATAGGCTCCCTACGGGAGCCAGAGCTGCGCGTTCTTCCCCGTAGCGCTGTCTTTCCTGCATGGCGTGTTGATCCCACTCCTCGCGTTACTGAATTCGGCGAATAGCGGCGCCGCGCGTTCGAGGCGAGCGGCGCGCTTCAAAGCGGGGTAACGTACGCCGGTGCGCGGTCAACGTCTGCTTTCCCGCATGGCTTTTGATCTGGCTCCTCAGGTGATCGGATCTTAGCGAATAGCGGCGCGCGGCACGCGGAAAACAGACGTGCAACTCTGGCCAATACCACCTAAAAGACAAGGCCTGCGCATGACGTTTCGTTAGTAGATCCCCGACCCGCCCCAAGCGGCAAACACCCCGAAGCTTGACGAGAATACGGGCCGCGTCGCATTCACTGGCGGCCACAGCTGTGTGCGCGACTACCAAGAGCGAGCTGATAGCGAGCTTCCAGTTCATTGGCAACGTGTATGCGTACAATCCCTCGGCCAGGGGGGCTATGTTGCACGTTTTGGACTCCCAGGAGACTAGGGAGAAGGAAGTGACGTCTACAACACAACCAATGCAGATTGGATGTTGATTTTGTTTTTTTCTGTCAAAACCCAATCTGCGTTTGCTCTAGTCGTTGACGTCCCTTCCTTCTCCCAAGTCTCCTGGGAGAAAACGTGCAAAATAGCACCGCAGGAGCGCGAGCTAGCTCGTGCTCCTGGCTTTGAGACGTGCATATTTTAGCGCACGCGCTCGTTCTGCGGAAGAACCCTTCAAAGCAGCAACCTCGAGCTCGCGCCTGTGGCGTTGGCTGCGTTCAGTGAAGGGAGTATAAACAGCGTCCTCAAAAATGGCGTCCAGTGCCAGCGTCCAACGAAGGCCAATTTGCAGCTCTTCGCACAGCAGTAAGGCATTTTCACTCATGCATTTGACGCTCCACCGTTAACGTCTAACTTCATCGTATTCTATGGCAAGAGACACTCGGCATGAGCATCTGTTTCATTATCTGCTACACAAGCCACTGAAGCAGGCGATGGAGCAGACGATGATGCTCATCCGGGCTACCTAGGGGGCGCTGAGGGGATCTACTAGTGATGACGTTTAGAGGAGAAGACGCGCAAGCCTTGTGTTTTATGTGGTATTGCTCTGGCTCCCGTAGGGAGCCTATACACAAACCCTAGCGCTGACGGACACGCAGCGCCATGAGGTGGCCGGTCGCTGAAACTGACGCGAAGCGTCAGTTTTAACGACCGGCCGCCCGATGGCGCATGCGTGTCCGGCGAATGCAAGACTGGTCGACACGCGCCAGCCAATGGGATTGCAGCTGTGTAAAAGGTGCCGTTGGCTATGGACGCGCGCTAGCCAATGGGAACGAAGCGGTGTAAAAGAGCCATTTGGCGTGGTTTCAGATCTGATGACGTCGGTCTGCTCCATGAGACAGCTAATGCTTTCGCATTAGAATATCGGAGCAGGACGCACAGCCTCGCCGCGCCCTACTCCCCACCTTGCAGTTTTATCGGTTTCCAAAGGCCTCCAGGAGGCGCAGCATGTGTCGACAGCCACATGCTCTAATGTTCGCATTTCATTCGAACACGATAGTACAAATCACTCCTGTTACTTCGGATGGCGTCTTTTCACCCTGCCTGCAATTCACGGCGACAGCGTTTCTCGACAATACAACAAAGGACGGGGGCGCGTGCGTGAATATAAAGGCAAGGTGTTGAAGGCATGTGGGATAAGCGCGAGAATTCATATGACTTGGCGCCTTTTGTGTGTTGCTTTTTGTTAAGGTTTGGGAATACGTACGTGCAACGTAACCACGTTACCCGTTAAGTGTTCACACTAAAGTCACTGTATCCTGCCTCTGTATCCTCTGTATTTTTTCCCCTGCCAGTTAGCCGGACGCAAATAGGTAGCAACGTACGGACGAAAATAATTGACTGATAGGTCTCAGTTCTCACAGCCACAATCGCTATTTCGGTCCATTCAAATCTTGGAAGCTTCAAAAGGGTCGTTTTGAACCGGTCGCACCAACATCGTTATGGAGCCTCATCGTACTGAGAGCGTTCCTCGCCAATATAAGCATGCTTGGCGTGGTGAATGCAATCCGCTTATCAATCATGGTAATCTCCCCAATTCGCTTACTAACGTAATTTTGTTCTTGTGTATATAAAAATAAAACAAAACAATACTATTTTTGAATGGTGCCAAACACTGACACCGCATGTGGTGGCGGTGCGCAGTTGTGCGCTTGTTTCACCGGTCTGTAGATAAAAAAAAAATCTTAGTATTCAAGAAAGGTCTTTAGAAAGGTACCTGCCACCAGCGAATTTAGGTGGGCTCAATAAGAATTGAGAGGAACTGCTCATTCCGTGAACCAAAATGGCGACCATAGCTTGTTGCTTATCTTTCCCAGGGTACAGGGGCATTAGTTCACATTAAACACAAAGCCCAGTTTTCTCACATTACATTACGTTCCGTTCCGTTACGTTACGTTACATTACGTTACATCACGTTACGTTACGGGACCTTACATCTGCTCACGATGAGAGCCACCGGGACATCTGCATTTCTTATGAAGCGTGGAATTGAGCTCGATGAGTTCAACTCTGCACGCGACATTCGATTCACGGATGTCCCGGTGAATCATAGGAATCATAACGTAGCGAAAAGCCGGGGTCACCCTACTTCTACATCATACAAAAGACAGACCGCGAACAGGTTCGACCGCAAGTCACGACGAGATCCGCGCTGCGAATGCCGCATGGCAATGAGTTCAAGGAGAAACTTGGCACGCGGCATTCGTGCCATGGATATCGCGGTGACAGATGTCTGCCAGACTGTATTTTGTACGACGTATGAGCAGTGTGACTCCGGCGCATGAAAACGTAAGTAAACGCGTCTGTGTGAACGGGCCTTTACTTGAGATAAGTGCTCATACGTCACTGTATTGGAAAACGTAACGAGTACGTTACTACGCTACCGAAAAAGGGTTACGCGCTACCGGTAACGCCGTCACCTGTAACGCGTTACCGCTAGCACTGCCATATATCATATGCAGAAGACACGGAGTTCTCTGCACACGTGATGACAGCCTCACCTGCGGACAGGCCTCAAGGTGCACGTTTGAAGTACGTTTGCTTCCTATAGATGTATGCTTAGATGTTAGGACATCTCTGCAGACAGTTTTTGCGTGACCAATGTGACAAGACAGGGAAGAAACACGCCTCAGCAGACGGCCTCAGCAGACTGTCTTTTGTATGCCGCATGAGCAGCGCCAAGTGCGACTTAAACCTCCGTGTTTTGTGTCTTTCAGGTGATACGGGGCTTTACGATACTGGGATACGTGCTGATGCTCACCGCCCCGCGATACGAGGTAACGAAACTCCACAGGCAAGACGAGAAGCCACTCATCAGTAAGTATAGACGCTTTACACACGCGCCAAATTACGGCCGCCATTGCTGACCTTCTCTTGTCTTACCGAGATGCCGAGCAAGTGAAACGGTAGTTGACGATCCTCTACAAAGGCCGATGCTTTAGAAAAGGACACAGTTGAATCTAATATGGCAATAACCTGGCCTGCTATGGCAATGATGGAGGGAAATAAACGGAATAAGAGGAAACAAAAACTGAAGGTCAGTTATGGCGGCGTCCATGCACAGCTGCTGCAAAGCGTCACAACCTTGCAGCTACACATGCAACGTGACGTATCTCCCTGCCGGGGCTGTAAAGGCCTGTTAACTCACACATGCAGCGGAGTACTCCGAGTCCAAGCATAGCACTAACCTCGCATAACCACTCGTTCACACTTGAAGCGGATCCGCGTTTGCAAAGCGGTTGCGAACGCGGTTGTATAAAGATTCAGTACAATTGCACGCGCACTCGATGACATCAAGTACGCGTGACATTGTACTGAATCTTTATACAACCGCGTTCGCACCCGCTTTGCGAACGCGGATCCGCTTTCAGTGTGAATGAGCCTTAAGCGCGTGCTGACGGGAGTGTTCACCACCCTTGTATCGCACCGTCAAAGCTATTGCTCATGGCAGACGAAAAGTGACGACACGTGAGCAGCGCTATCAGCGCTTCGCTGCATGTATGAACCGACACTAAAATTGTTTCAGTTGCCTCAGGCGTTCCGTCAACTGGTGTGCGAATGTACGTTTGAGTCATGTACATGCTACCAAAGAAGAGAAAAAAAACTAATTACAGTTACTCGTTGCTCGCGCTTGTGGCAACAAAGAGTTTTAACCATTAACGAGCTTCGAGAGAAAAAAAAAAAGCGCGTTAATTTACTTTTGTAGTAAGCCGTTATTTTTCTCGTTTCTTTTTCAAGTTAGAGTAAGTGATGGGCCGACATGAAGCTAAAACATACATGTGCGGCAGACACACAAACAAAAAACCTACGAAAATATTGCCGAAACTTCATCGAAACAAACCTCGTTTGTTTTTACCATACCGGATTGCGTGGAGGGCAGTTATTAGGAAGAATTGGGCGAAGTTGACGCGGTAAGCGCGGCAGTGCTGTGCGCCTCGGTCAATGGCAGTACAGTGGTGTGTTCTTTGGGCGTTTCTATATCGTGTCGCACATAGGACACGAGTTGGGTCAAGGACAAGCTATGTGCTGTGCACATGTGCTATTTTGTACCCTTTTCATAGAATGTAACGAAGTACGATTAGTCGTACATCGGTCACAATTACCGAAAATACGTTACTCGTTCCTGTCACTGACAACAAAATAATTATTTACTCTATTATCAAACCATTAACGAGCAAAAAGGCGCACATTATAATCTGAATTACGTTGCGAACAAGTCTAGATTCATTTATTCGAAACTCAAATATCGACCAGAAATGTTTTAGCAATCGTTTCTGATTCTCGCACTTTTAAAAGTATGCCGGCGAAGCGATAACAATAAATGAACGCAGGTGCACTTATTCTGAGCATGGTTTTCGCCGGACCCTTAGCAGATGCTACTTTACTTAATGAGGACTGCTTCATGGCTTCAAACAAGTGTATACAGTGTGCCTAGAGTTTGTGTTCTATAAAAATATTCGACAGGGAACTTTACCTTCAAAGTCTTCTATCGCATGAAATGCATTATAGGGAATTGGCAAGAGGATCGGTGTGTCACGTGACGTTTATTTTCCCGCTCAATTTAGCAGGAAAACAGAATCATTGCCCAGGTAATGTGACGTCAGGTCAAGTGACGTCGCACCCCTCCACTCCCCTTCTCCCCCTAAATTTAGCGGGGAGAGTGGATTGGTGTTCAGGTTACAAGACCTGAATTTTCACTCCTAAATTTAGCGGATAACTGAATTGGCGTACAGACCTTTCCTGTGGCAGTCTTGAACGAAGCGATTTACAGAACGCGTACCTAGTTTTGAGAGTGTACGTCAGTGTTGCCTGACTGCACTGGGCTGTGGCAGCCTGCGTAGGTGCACTTCCGGAAGCGGGCGGCGTCTGAACTGTCGCGTTTTATTTTTATTTTGTGTTCTGGGGAGAATAGAATTTCCCGAGGTCTTTATGAAAGCACTGTAGTATTTTTGGGAAGAAAAACAAACAAATGAAAGGTGCTCTTGTGAGTCCGTGCGCGACCGAACAAATGCAACGGGAATGCGTGTGATCATTTTGTTTCTTTTTTTGCGACACAATGCATGCAGCCGTGTCAATCTATAAAAGTCTTAACTGTCGAAAATATTTGACCACATACAGGATAGCCGAAAGGCATGGGTATTCCACGCTCACATGAAATTCAACGAGTCTTATCAATCGAACAACATATATTTTACATACCCCATGGTGTCGTGTTATCCGAACAGGATTTAAAAAAGGTCTCAAATAACACAAGATATCCAATATACAGTGACGACGACAGTCACTTCACGACGAGCGGTGGGAATCCAGCTCGTTTTATAAGGCACGTTTTGAAAAGAGCAGCTTTTTTCTTTCTTCTTTTTCTTTTTGTTTCCACGGCACCAAAGCTAATGAACGAACGTTCATTTGCTTGGAGCTGTTTTTCGTGACCGGGAACAAACCCGGGAAGGCTTTTCGGAGATTATTTCAATGGAAATAACCCTCGAGCGACCCGCGTCGCGGGCTGCTTGACGTTCGCTTTCTTCGTTTGTTTCCTGCGAAGGCCGAGCAGGTTACGAGCCCGTGTATTCCCTGGTTCCCAAAGTGCAAGATCACACACAAAGAGTAAGCATCCTGAACAGGCAGATAAAGTAAAAACATTCAAGAAAAGCCGGCAAACTCCGAATGCACATTGCAGGTGGGGATTCGCGCTGACCTGGTTTCCACACCTCAAGTGGGTGCAGAACTTTTTGGCTGATAGGGGTCGCTCGAGTCGCAAAATGGCGGCGGCCAGAGTGCTCTTTTTGCAAAGGTTTATAGGTCACTGAGATGTCAATTTCCCGGAAAATTTCGCGGGGAGACTGAATTTATGTTTTGGCAACAAGACGTGCATTTTCCCGCTACATTTAGCGGGGAAACTGAGTTGACGTATAGGTCACGTGCCGTCAATTTCCTCAAGGTGTGTAAATCATGTGGGGCAGCGAAGAAAAGCTGACCGGAGAAACGCTTACCGGAGAAAAGCTCACCGCGAAACTGACCAGTGCGAAGAAAAGCTCACCGGCCTTTGGACGAATGCGGATTAAAGCTTACCTACGAATCTAAGAATCGGGCGTTCACTCAAATGAAATACGCTCTCTCAAGTGAAACATGCTCACTCAAGTGAAATACTCTCACTAAAGTCAAATACGCTGACTCAACTGAAGTATGTTCAGATGCCTTTTGAGCACGCGGTCATTCTGCCCTTCACCAAAATAATAAATTTTTTTGAAGTATAAAAAGCGTCCTGTATCCTGTCAAGCCTTGATCGCCGAAAAAAAAAGATTTCAATAGAGCGCCAATAAAATAAGCATAATGCCGTATTTCCTTTTTCCCAGTGACATCAGAATTAGATATGGGAACACGAACGCGAAATGGGTTGGCATAAAGTGGAACGAGGGCTACAGCCAGAGTGGAGAATAAAAATCAAGATTATTTATATCGTAATTCAAATTATGATCTAAGTCTGACCAGTTTTGCTAAAAGTATTGAAATGAAACCTTATAAGGAAAAATAATCTTAATCATGTTTTGTTTTATTCACCTTTTTGTTTATTATTTTATGCTTTGTTTGCGCATACTCTCTCTATTTAAATTAAAGAATCGTCCCACAAGCAATATTTATATCGGTCTGAACACAAGAAAAAGGCAGTGGTTCTCAGAGCGAATTGATGCTTGAGCTTCATTTCAACCTTCGACTTGGTTTGTCAGTCACATCAAATCATTTTGCAATCATATCAGAACGCGAAAGATAGAAACAAAAAACTGAAAAACTAATGTTGCATTGCAAGCAAATGAGATCGCGAAAATAAGAAGCACGTACAGCTTCTCGCTAACAAAAAGACCAAGCTTTTCTTGTTATATGGTTGGGCTTTCATAAACAGAAATTTCTTAAAATTGCGGTAGTTAGTTTTTCCCCGTTGTTTTCACTGATCCAAAGAATTAAAATAAGTATACCTAAATTGTAAAATTTAAAAAAAAAATTATTCAGGCTACAGCAGAGCGATTTGATGTTAAGCGTGTACGCTGGCTGTCACTGTCAACCTAAAGAAACGATAAGCGTTTTTTTTTTCTTCTTTTTTTATTTTAGTGGTTGCCATTAAACCGGTGGAAATTGCTGATACGGGGCACAAGCTTATGCAAAAACGTTTGACGCAGGTCAGCACTCTTCTCCAAATAAAATCTAAAAAATCGCTTCGCACAAACTGTGAGAAAGGCCTAAAACATGGGTAGCACTACTGATATTAAATTATAACGAACACTTTACATTCAAATTAAATTCAAAAATGAGCTTTCCTTTGGGTCCGTTAAAAAACTGGTAAGCTTTTTTCCGGACCCGCCCGAAAATGGGTGAGCCTTTCTCCGGCGAACTTTTTCTTGGGAATCCTCACGTGACTCCACATTCCCGCCAAATGTAGCGGGGAAACTGAATCGGTGTATAGGTCACGTAACATAAATGTTTTCGCTAAATTTAGTGGTGAACTGAATTGTTATGTATGTCACGTGACGTCAGGTCACGTGACAAATTTTCCCGCTAAATTTAGCTGAGAAACTGAATTCGTGTATAGACATCGTGATATCGATTTGCTTGCTAAATTTAGCGGTAAATTCAAGGACGGACGGGTGGACGGACAAAATTTTAGGATTGGGGGTAGCGTTAAAAGAATTTCATAGTTTCAAAAAAAAAAATAGAATAATGATTTACATTACGTGGGAATATATTGAGCAGAATATGTTATTATGGCCTTGAGCAAAGTCTTTGTTTTCATGTGGTACGGGGGACAATTCGTTTGAGGCCAGAAT